TGACCATCCTCCAGAAAAGACTTCCGTTTTCACTGTAATCACAGTAGGAGCACTCGAGTATTATTTGGTTATTCACAAGGCATCTGTTCTGGAATTCTAGAGATATCTGAAATAGGAAGACAGGGATTGTTTTGACTTAGGAGTGTTTGTACATTCTTGGTTTAATGTCTGCCCTTGAGAAGTGAAAGATAAACTTGTTAATTGAATATGCCATTTGTAGAAAGGTAGAGCCTTTCCTTTCCCTCTTTCTTTTCCTTTTCTCTTCTTCTTGTCTTGTCCCCTCCCCTCCCCTCCCTTCCCCTCCCCTCCCCTCCCCTCCCCTCCCCTCCCCTTCCCATTCCCCTCCTAGATGTCAGAGGCTGGTTCTGCAGGGTGGTGAGAGTGGAGGTGGTCTTCTGTTGTCAGGGTGGTGTGCACGCTTCAGGACTTGGGGTGCTGGGGGCCCGGAGCACGGAGGTTGTGAACTAGGTTGGCTGCGATGGCTAGGAGGTTGTTTCCACTGAGGAAATAAGTACATTGATTGAGCTCATCCATCCATCCATCCATTGAGGGTCATGAGAGCCAGACTTGTCTCAGTTGGAGAAGGTAGATAGAACCTAATTGCTAAGTAGTTTTTGCCGTTATGAGAAAGGAGTCCTTTTTGGTGTAGTCAGCCTAATAGAAGAGCAGGCTCCGGATTCCAGTAGGAGTTGCTCTGTGAGCCATTTGGGACATAGGGACCAGGTGGAATGTGAGCGCAGCCCAGAAGTGGTCTGGTGGGAATGAGCTAAGCTGCTGGAGGCCTTTTGTGGGCTCTCTCACTGGCACCATCCGAGTCCGCAGTAGCTCGTTGGTGCTGGACCCAGTACATACCTACCTCTTATTTCCAGTCGAGTGAGTGAGTGGAATTCTAGAGGACAAGAGGCAGATCCTCTTTGCTGCTCCCTTTTGTAAAAGTTTACAGTGCTTTTCTTTGTTTTGTTTTTTGGGTTTTTTTCTCCTTGGCATATTCAGAATAAAAAGGACACGTAATGCCCAGCTGTCATATGCACATACTTAAGTTTAAGAAACTGTGTCTTACCTCCAACTTCTTTATTCCAGTTGTTACTTAATGATTTAGTTTAGGATCTTTTTTAGAGCATGATGCAATAAGAAAATACTGACTTTAAATTGTATACAGTTTCTTGTTAAAAAAATAATGAAGTACGGTCAGCCCTTGGTCTGTGGGTTCCTCACCCACAGATCCAATCAACCACAAATCAAAAATATTCATGGGAAATATTCCAGAGAGTTCCAAAAAGCAAAACTTGAATTTGCCATGAGCCAACAATTATTTACATAGCATTTACATTGTATAAGGTATTATAAGTAGTCTAGAGATGATTTAAAGTACACGGGAGGGAGGATGTGTGTAGATTACATGCAAATACTATGCTGTTTTATAGAAGGCATCCTTGTTTGAGCATCCTTGGACTTTGGTCAGTCTCTGCAGGTGGTCTTGGAACCAATCCCCCAGGGATACTGAGGGACAGATGTATATCATTTATAAGCCCAAATGTTAATTGATGTAAAAATGAACTGTCTGGTCACTATTGTTCTGCTCCCTGGAAAGGAGGTTTAATTTGTTATTGCAGTTACTTGAATGTAGAGTAGATATCTGCCTAAAACTGGAATAGGATTGTAAACTCCACCCAGCCTAGCAGCTGCTTCCAGGAGTATCTTTTTTTTAAAGAAGATGTTGGGGTTAGGAGTTTATTAATTAATTAATTTATTTTTGCTGTGTTGGGTCTTCGTTTCTGTGCGAGGGCTTTCTCTAGTTGCGGCGAGCGGGGGCCACTCTTAATCGCGGTGCGCGGGCCTCTCACTATCGCGGCCTCTCTTGTTGCGGAGCACAGGCTCCAGACACGCAGGCTCAGTAGTTGTGGCTCACGGGCCTAGTTGCTCCGCGGCATGTGGGATCCTCCCAGACCAGGGCTCGAACCCGTGTCCCCTGCGTTGGCAGGCAGATTCTCAACCACTGCGCCACCAGGGAAGCCCCAGGAGTATCTTTTGTGTCTCAGAGAAAGGAGGCTTGTGACTATGAACATTTGAGTTATTCTGTTGGCAGATGTGGGACTATTTAAATCTTTGACTAATGCACATAGAACCTTCAAGGAAGAAACCCATAAACAGCAAGGGCATGTATCACACAGTACAGGACAAACCTACTAGAAGTTCAAGATTAGAGGATGCATATCTGAAACATATAAAGTGGAGTGGAGAGGGAGAGCACAGTTTCCTTTACTGTTTGCTTATTCAGATTGATAAAGCTTGTCCTGCTTGGTCCTTTTTCTTATTTGTTGAGCCGTGTTGGTGTACCGGTAAGGTAATTGTCGCTGTGTAACCCCCACCCCCAGTTAATTGTATAAAACAGCGACCATCTTTTTGCACACAGTTCTCTGGGATAGCAATATAGGCTGAGTTCAGCTTGGTATGACTTCTGCTGGTCTCACCTGGGATCGTGAATGTGGCTTTAGGCATTTGGTGGCCTAACAGGGACTGGATGGTTTAGAATGGCCTCACTCATGTGTCTGATGGTTGTCAGGCTGTGTAGTTCAGGCCCTTGTCTTTCTTTGTGACCTCTCCAACAGCCTAGCTCAAGTTCATTTGCATCATGGCTTCTAGTGTCAGTCATAAGGGTGGGGGAGGGGCAACATCCTAATGCACAAATGCTCAAGCCTCTGCTTGTATCTCATCTTATAATGTCCCTTTGGTCAAATCAGTCACATAGACAAGTCCAGATTGACGGGGTGGAGGATAAACTCTGTCTCTTGATAGAAGGAGTGGCAGAGTCACATTTCAAAGGTTTTGCATAAAGGGGTGGTAGGAATTGTTCCAGCCATCTTTGCAAACAGTCTACCACAGTCGGACAAGGAACCCGAGGCGGGAAGGATATAGTTGAAGGGTTTGTTTGGTGGTTACACGTGGCATATAGGTTTAGTAAAATATTAGGCACTGTATGGCAGTGTACTCGGTATTATATTTCAACAGAAGAATAGTTGTGTGAAAGTGGTTTGTACCATCCATGTTCTTAGTGATGAATGGATTCTGTGCATATTAGTCATTCAGTTAAATATTTATGGGACATTATTCATGGGCCAGCCCTGTTCTAGGTGATAGGAAAACAGCTGGGGGGAAAAGCACACACAATTCAGTATGTATAAGAGTCACAAGTAACAAAGAGAAATTTAAAACTTAGTAGTGTGGCTTTTGATTTTGGGTTTGAGGCAGCTGAGTTTGTTCTCCATGCAAGAATGCCACACAGGCAGATTTTCATCAAGAATTTAGCCGCCCGTGAAATTTGGTTTTAAAGAGCAACTTGGTAACTGGTTTCTCTGCTAACAGCAAATATGTATTTTAATTATTGTATTCAAGAAACTACCTTAAAAAGGGAGATTCATGTACTTTTCTACTAAAGAAGGCTGATCTTTCAATCAACAGATATTAAAGGAATAAATCAATTATTGTATTCTCATATCTACCAATCTAAGTAATTCTAGTAAGCTGTTCAGACAGTTATTCAGTCTCTAGCATCTCCCATCTACTTGCCCAGGTGGGTTGGACTGTGAAGAAACCTTTCTGGAAGTCTTATCTAAATGGAATAAGTTAAGACATTTGGACTCATTGCTTGTCAGGCCAGATTAGTTGGGTCCTTAGTGCTAGGGTGTCAGAAATAGATAACCCTAATTGCATGGGAGCTGAGAGTTTTTCTTTACAGCAGCAGTCTTATGTACTCTTGCTAAGATTGTATTCTTATAGGATGAAAATAGGTATAAAAATGACCTGTTCAGTTTTCCAGGTTGGGGGAAAAAATCTTATAATTAAAATAATTGTGACCCATGTTTTGAAAAAAAAATCAGAACATTTCTGCTGTTCTCTTTTCTATTCTGTTTGATCTGACAATCTGCTTGAATCCAGTGGTGACAATACTGGAAAAACTTGTTGCTCTAAAAATGTCACCTTTTGTTGCATGGCCCTGGAAAGGCGGGGAAGTTGGAAGTGACTTTTTTCTTTCTTCTTTCCTTTCTTTTTTTCACCTTTTTATTAAAAAAGCTTTTTATCACTGACATATGTTTGTTAGCATCCCCCTTCCACCACCACCCCAGCCATCTTTATAATGTTGAAACTGAAAGGAAAAATGGAGCTGAGTTACAGTTAAGTGACTTTTGCTTGTGGCATTGCGCTAGTCTTTGTACAAAATGACCTAAACCAACACTGCTCTTGCTGCCGGGAATTTAAGATCGAAATGGAAAGGAAGATAACTAGTGTTCTGGTTTGCAGTGTGAGAGCGTTACTGTCTGTTAAAATAGGAGCATTAATCCCTCTGAGAGTACATTTAAATTCTACATTAAATTTAAATTCAACATGAAATGTACTGTCTTTCAGCAAGTACATTTAAATTCTGAGATTAAAGTCCACTAGGTATAACATGAAATGATTTTCTTTGAATACCCAAGGGATAACTGTGACTCTAATATTGAATTGTATGTGGTCGGAGCCCATTGTAGAGATGGACAGGCTGTGTAAGGACAGTGCCAAAGTCAAGGCCCCATTGGATAGGTATGGGTATGGGTAGGGAGGAGGGGAAGCCTGGGTTACTGTGGACTGAAATAGGAGAATAAAGATGAGAGAGGGAAACACCAGTTCTACTCGGAATCGGGGAAGGCATAGCTCTTGCTCACAATTAGCCGTGGTTGGTGACAAAATTTTTGGCAAGTATGACAGGGCTTTGGAGGACTCTTATCCAGGGTCATGAATTAATCTAGAGATTTATTTTGAAAGATATTTTCAATGTATAAATCTATGTTCTCCATTTATCAGCAAAATGAATAAACATTATTGACCATCTGTCTTTAGAAATATTCTTGAAAAGTATAAAATGAGTGGTCAGGCCGTAGAACTAGTGCTTTTAAAAGGATGAAACCATGCAACATTAAGACTTAAGATGTTAAAATGGGTATATTTTATTCTTTCTTTTGCAGACATACATTGGAAGTGTGGTTATATCTGTTAACCCATACCGGTCATTGCCCATTTATTCACCAGAGAAAGTGGAAGATTACAGGAACAGAAATTTTTATGAACTGAGCCCACACATGTAAGTATGGTAGTAAAGCATTAAGTTTCTCTTTCACTCCAGAGCCGTCTAGTTGACAGATGTGTCCAGCTGTTTCCTTTGAGTCTCAGGAAAATGTTTTAGTCATTTTTAAAAATTAGATGAAGGAATGTGGAAGTGAATTGTTATGCCTTATTTTAAACTAAAAAAAAAAAAAAAGGCAGAATATTTCATTTGGCCTCAGGCTCTTTAAGTTCTGAAATATTTGGGTTCAGTATGTAAAGTATCTTCTGTTAAAAATTCTGTGTAAGTAACAGCTGCTGCTAATTATTTTTTCAAATAAAACAGGAATATGGTCATTGTTTGTTATTATAAAGAGCCCAAGCGGCATTTTCATGCTCTTGTTGGGTCAAGAAAGACCCCAAGTGTTGGGTTGTGTAATAGTTTCTGAGGAAAAGGAATAAGTAATCCCTTCAGTTTATAATATTCATGGACATTGTTCACCAGATGTGTACATTAAGCCAATGATTTCACCCTCCCTGAAGTTAGTCACTTGTTTGATTTTTCTGAGGTCACTTGTTATTGTAAATAATTCCTGTAAATAATAACCTACAATAATTACACAATACTGAGGTTGAGAAACCCTGAACTAAAGTGAAAGAATCTGCAGAGTTTTAGTTGTGTCCTAGCAGAAAAGAATTTTCTCTGTATGATTGAAGATGGGCTCTATTATTTTTGCTAGAAAATAAATCTAATAATTAAAGAATATACATACCACTGTCCAGATGTTTATTTTAGTTTCTTTTGATAGTGGAGCATACAGTGACATTTTTGGACTGTTTGGAACTAAAGATTTAAATAATTTGTGAAAATGGTTATTAAAAATGAAACACAGTATTTTACCAATCAAGCGGATTCTGATTATTCAGTTTTCTCCTAGAAGTAGGTTTTGCAAGTGAACTTGTTTCATTTTGCCTTAACAAAAATAAAATCTATTGGGATTGACATATATACACTAATATGTATAAAATGGATAACTAATAAGAACCTGCTGTATAAAATTCTAAAATTCAAAAAAAAATCTGAAATTTGTTTGATAAAGTTATCCCTATAGTTAAAGTCCCTGCAATGAAATACCTTATTTGATGCCTTAATATTTATTTTAAATTCTAGGCCTTGAAGCCATGCCTCTCAAATGCTTAGATCAGCTATGTCAGAGTCCCCCAGGAGCTCAGGAAAAACCTAGTTTCCTAGGCCTTACCTCTAACAAGCCAGGAATCTACATTTTTCACAAGCATTCCAGGTGATTCATATGTATGTGCAAGTTTGAGAACATGTTGTCTCAGAGATATATTTACAAATGTTTTCCCTTCCTTAACTGCTTACCGCAAATTATGATCTTTTACAATAATAGCATGATAACAGTAAGAGTAATGGCTTGTATTTATTGAATACTTACTATGTGCAGGTACTTCTCTACATACTTTCCATGTATTATAACTCACGTCATTCTCAAAATAATCCTGTGAGGAAGGTACCGTTACAAATGGGGAAGTTGTCTCAGAGAAATAAGTCATTTATCAAAGCTCGTGGGTCGGGAGCAGAGGTGTGAAAACAGTCATCTGCTGTGCCTCTCAGCTGGAAATGGGTTCCACCGTTTTCTTCTTATGGCCTCTTACTGTGCAGTTGTATTCTTTTACCTTTGGGTTGCCTGTGTTCCTGCATCCTGGACCCTCCAGGATAACTTAGCTGTGCCTCAGTTTGCTTCCAGAGACCACATGCCATTCTTCCATTTTCAGCTTAAATCTCCACTTTGGGGTTGTTTAGATATATAATAGATGTCCATTCTAGAACATAGAAATTCATGCTGTGGAATATCCACTTTTATTCCTGTTCCTGAAAGATTCCTATAAGAGGCTGCATAGCACTCCTACCCAAGTTCACCCCTTACCCCCCAAGGGAAAAACACAACACCAGCAATAAAATAAATTCCCAGTGTGCTTAAGATAAAGACAGAATCTTTTTACCATGATCTATAAAACATTGTGCATGGGGTGAAAGGTACAGTCTCATCTAATAAATCTGAATTCCCTAGATTCATATCACAGCTCCCTCCCCACCTCACTTTGTTCTTTCAGTCCTCAGCACACTCCTTCCCACCACGTCATCTTTGCACATTCTGTGCCTTCTGCCTGGAATGCTTTTCCCTCCCTTTTCCCCAAGGCAACTCCTGTTCTTCCTTTAGATCTTAGATTGCATTAGACCTCAAGGAAGAAATGTCCATCCCTCACCCCCTCCTTGCCAAGGTCAGATCTATTGCTCTTGTCACAGTTACAGTTAAACATTTCTTCATGGGATTATTTGATTCATGTCAGCTTCACCTGCCATGCCAGCTTTTGCTCACCATAATATTCTTAGCACCTGAAAGTAAGTGTTCAAAATATATTGAACAGGACTTGGTTTGAGTCCCAGATTTTCCAGTTACAAACCATGTCATCTTGAGCAAATTACTTGAAAAAACTTCAACTCATAGATTAAGTAATTTGTTGTGTACAATGGGAAAATAATTATTAACTCATAGGATTTTTGTGAGGGATAACTATCTAGTAGATATTTAGAAAATATAATTATCTGATATAAGTAAAGTGCTTAGCAGGGAATCTGTCGTTATGGACAGCTGTTGCTATTAACAGTGATAAATATAATAATTAATGTAATAATGAGATATGTGGGACACATTTCCGACATTTTAACAGGCTCTTCCTTACCACTTTGTCCTCCACGGTGGGACATTTCCACTTCCTTTAATGCATTTTCCTGCATTATTCTTTGTGAGTGTCCATCTTTGACAGCATCTGAAACAGGGTCAGTGCTAGCTAGGTTCCCTACTAAAACCCAACCTGAACTTCTCTCATAGGATCTTTGTGATATAATAGGATAAGAAGACTTCAAGCTTTTGATGCATTCTAATCATAACTCTTCAAGAATTTGGTTCCAATTTGAATAAAAAAGAACTTTAAAGCAACTGACAAAGGATTAATCTCCAAAATTTACAAGCAGCTCATGCAGCTCAATAACAAAAAAACAAACAACCCAATCCAAAAATGGGCAGAAGACCTAAATAGACATTTCTCCAAAGAAGATATACAGACTGCCAACAAACACATGAAAGGATCTCAGCATCACTAATCATTAGAGAAATGCAAATCAAAACTACAATGAGGGCTTCCCTGGTGGCGCAGTGGTTGAGAGTCCGCCTGCCGATGCAGGGGACACTGGTTCGTGCCCCGGTCCGGGAAGATCCCACATGCCGTGGAGCGGCTGGGCCCATGAGCCATGGCCGCTGAGCCTGCGCGTCTGGAGCCTGTGCTCCGCGACGGGAGAGGCCACAACAGTGAGAGCCCCGCGTATCGCAAAAAAACAAAACAAAACAAAAAACAAAAACTACAATGAGATATCATCTCACACCGGTCAGAATGGCCATCATCAAAATATCTACAAACAATAAATGCTGGAGAGGGTGTGGAGAAAAGGGAACACGCTTGCACTGCTGGTGGGAATGTAAGTTGATACAGCCACTATGGAGAATAGTATGGAGGTTCCTTAAAAAACTACAAAAAGAACTACCATATGACCCAGCAATCCCACTACTGGGCATATACGCTGAGAAAACCATAATTCAAAAAGAGTCATGTACCAAAATGTTCATTGCAGCTCTATTTACAATAGCCCGGAGATGGAAACAACCTAAGTGTCCATCATCAGATGAATGGATAAAGAAGATGTGGCACATATGTACAATGGAATATTACTCTGCCATAAAAAGAAACGAAATTGAGTTATTTGTAGTGAGGTGGATGGACCTAGAGTCTGTCATACAGAGTGAAGTAAGTCGGAAAGAGAAAAATAGATACCGTATGCTAACCATATGTATGGAATCTAAGAAAAAAAAAAGGTCATGAAGAACCTAGGGGTAAGACGGGAATAAAGACACAGACCTACTAGAGAATGGACTTGAGGATATGGGGAGGGGGAAGGGTAAGTTGTGACAAAGAGAGTGGCATGGACATATGTTTACTACCAAACGTAAAATAGATAGCTAGTGGGAAGCAGCCGCATAGCACAGGGAGATCAGCTCGGTGCTTTGTGACCACCTGGAGGGGTGGAATAGGGAGGGTGGGAGGGAGGGAGATGCAAGAGGGAAGAGATATGGGAACATATGTATATGTATAACTGATTCACTTTGTTATGAAGCAGAAACTAACACACCATTGTAAAGCAATTATACTCCAATAAAGATGTTTAAAAAAAAAGAACTTAAGCAGCTGCTCAAACCAAGTACCTTGAAAATTGCTGATTAATTAGCCCCAGATTACATTTGGAATTTCTTTGACCTGTTGTTCACTGTTAGTCTGCAAAACCATCCAGATATTTCCCTCATGACTCATGTGTTTTTGAAGGTGTCCAGAAATTATCTTTCTTTAGATTTCAGACAATTGAAAAATATTTACATTCTACTTAAGTACGTGACTCAGACAGCAGAAATGTATAAATGAATAAAATGAAGATAAACAGTGGCTTCTTATCTATGGTCCTTTTCAAAAATGGTTTTCTGTTGTCATACCTCTTCTATTCCCTTCTCTGGATTCCTGTCCCCTGTATGTTTGGAGCTACACCTTGAGCGTGATAACGTTGGGTGGCTTGCCCAGAGAAATGAGGGCCCTGCTGGGCAGCATAGATGATACTGTTTACCTTTCTAATTGTGTAAGCTGTGTCTTTCCAGCGTGATTTTTAAATATTTTGCACATAAGGAATTTTTCTTAAATACCCCAGGGAGGGCTTAGTACAGTACATTTCAGACCTCTCAGTAACTGCGTTCATGGAGAACTGCCTAACGTCAGGGATGGGAAAGAATGATAGGGGAGAGAGATAAGGGAGATAACTGAACTATTTACTCTCCCTCCACTCAGAATAGCACGGTGACAAACACCTTCTGATATTTTAGTTACCAAATCCACTGGCCTTCCCTTGGGTGATTGCCT